GGGGCGCGGGGCCCGCCGCTCCCGCCCGGGCGCCCCGGCGGCGGGCGGGGAGGCGCGGACGGGGGACGGAGGGACGGAGGCAGGCAGCGGGCTCGGGGGAGCTGCCCCGCGCCGCGGCACGGCGCTGCCGCCCGGCCTGTCCCGCACCGCTCCGCTCACAAAGGGGGGCCGGGACGCCCGGGACGGCGGCCCCGCCGCGGCCGCGGGTCGCTCTCCGCGGTGGCCGGGCCGGGCCGGGCGGGGCGGCGCGGGTGTCCCCGGCCGGGGGGCACGGCCGCGGCCCCGCTGCGTGCTGCGGCCGGCCGGGGAGGGTCTGACACTGCGGCCCCGGCACCGGGCCGCCATCAGCGCCGCTGGCCGCAGCGTGGGTCCCCGCCGGGCCAGCTCCGCCGGCTCTCGAGGCCGCGGGTGCCCGAACGCCGCCCCGCGCTCCCACTGCGGGCAGGGCGGCCCTGCCTGCTTGTGTAAATGGCCACAGAACGTCCCTGTGCCGGGCTGGCGGGGGCTTCAACTCGGAAAAGTGGATGCTACGCTCAAGAGACAAGTGGGAGATGCTCTCCTTCGCTGTTGTCTTTTTTTTTTTTTTCCTTCCCCTTCCCCTTGTCTTTTGATCTGGAGTTTCTGCCTCAGAACGGGGAGAGCCTGCCCGCCGCGACACCGCCGAGTGGGACGGGGCACGAAGAGCAGTCCCGGGCTGGCGTGTGCGAGCGGCCGTGTGGGAGGGGGCCGAAGCGCTGACAGCCACCAGGGTAAATGCTCGCTGCTCCGGAGAGGTGCGTGGGGAGGGAGCTCGCTGCACGCTCGTCACATGCCTCTGGGCCCTCGGAGAATCTTTTTTTCCTCCAGTTTCTTGAAGCCCTCTGAAGCAAACTGATGTAGTGTTATTAATGGGGGTCTGTAGTGCTCCAGTGGAAAGCGCGTGTGTTGGAGAAGAGGGAATGAACTTGTCTAACTGGTCAGTGAGAGGTAACAGCAGAAAGACTTTTCTCATCCCTTGCCCCCTGTGCACTTAGGTAAAAAGGTTAAGTAATGACCGAGGAATTAAACACGGGTAATTTCTCGCTGTCGTGTGGAACAAGGTTTGTGTTTCTCTCCAGCCTCACTTTCAGGGGTAACCTGCGTTGCAGGAGTCCTCTGAATTTTGCTCAACTGCTGGAGGAAAAGGGAGGAAGGGCTCTTAACATCTCTATTAATAACCCTTAATAACAATAACCGGGTGATGTCTTCATGCCGGTGACTCTGTCAGGGGGTGCCTGGCAGCCCGTGTCTGTTCCCGTGTGATTGACAGGCTGCCAGCAGGATGCTGCCTCCATTGCAGGGCCGAGAGGCACAGGTGAGCTGCGAGGACAGACCGAGATCTGAAAAGGGTTCCCTAATAGGGATGTTTGGGCTCTTTCAAGTGTCTCAGATGTACTCATTAAACACGAGGAGCTCGGGGCCGGCCTGACGGTGCTGTAAGGAAATGAAACTAGAACCCTTGATTATCCAGACAGTTCTCAACAGCCTCCTTCCAGGAGAATTCATGAGTGGCTGTGTATAAAAGGGAATAATGGTGGTGGATGGGAGAGGTAAAGAGGAAATTAGTGCGGGGTGCACTTATAAAAAGGAGCAAAGTAGGAAACAAAGCCCTGATGAGAGGGATGTGAAGACCAGAGTAACAAGGTGCAGTAATGCCTAGGAATCTCCCGTGCTGTTGAAGTAGTTATGCTCAAGAAGAAATTATGGTCACTTTTAAAGATGCCCTGGAGAAATAGGGGACAGAAGGTGAGACTCAGAGAAGAAACTCTTTTTATGAAGAGGTCATTTTACCTTTGTAAGTTTCTTTCTCCTTGAGTCAAATGGTCTCCACTTGCCCGCTCATCTGTAAATGTTAAAAGGGGATGCTGGACCTGCATAGGTTACAAATGGACTAAAATGGAAGCTTTTGCTAACTAAACCAATTCCTTTTGAAATCAAGCTTGAATGAGCTTGTTAATAAAATGGGTCTGTTTTACTCCCATAAATGGCCCTTTTTATTTTCCTTTTATTTTTCTTTTTCCCAGAAGCCAGTCTGATTTTTACCATCTAAAAATCCCAGCGTTGTGGCTACTATCCAATTCTCCCCTTGATTTAAGAGGCTTTGCCATGTAGAGTTTTTCTTTGAGGGGTTTTCTTCTTTTGAGGTCTCTGGCAGCGGTGGGGGTATTCATAGTTATTACTGCCTAGAGAAGGCAGGATTTCAGGATTACCCCTCCCAGAAGTCCTGGTGCATCGCAAGGCATCATTTGCTGCCTTGTAGATATCAGCCCCTTGCTTTGCATCCCTGAAGGCCACTTGGGAAGCTGGGCCATGGCCATTGGCCTCAGGAGCAGCTGCCCACTCTTTCAGCTTGGGGCCTT